AGTTGGGTGAAAATAAAAAATGGGTTGGGGATTGCTATTTTTCAGGTTATTGCTTGAAAAAAAAAAATCTACATTTACCTGGCGTCCTGTCTGGGAAAGAGGTAATATTTTTCAGTTAGAATGTAAGGTTTTAAATGTTTGAGGGTGTGTAGTGCTGTTTCCCTGAGCCAGCTTCTCTATCTGAGAGTCAGCCTTCCTTCCCAGCCCTTGGGACCATGGTCAGAAATACCCCTTCTTCACTGTAATGTCTGTAGAAACATCTGTGGAAGAAAAGACTGTCCAGATACTTTATCAGTGGATCGCTTGACCTCAGCTCACACAGGGATGAGGGATGTGGGGCAGCACTAGCTGTTGGCCTCTCTTCCATATGGGTGTCAATTTTGGCCCTCTTGGGACTGCCACCATGACATGTGGTTGCCACACACCAGCTAGCTAGCTGAAAATATCATTAAGACACTTCCTGCTTTGTTTTGTTTGCCTCTACCTTCTTAGGAGCTCTGCAAAGTGTGTCTGTAATTCACCCATCGATGCTGGTTGGCTACCCAAGTCCTCCTTAAACCAGTCTCTCATCTTCATGACCAGTGCAAGGTTTGCATTGCAACCCTGCTGGCACACACTTTGGAAAGCCTTCAGACCTTTAAACATTGCTGTCACATGCAGTGCAATCCAGAGGCTGCCCCTTAAGAAAGGGCAGTCTTTCAGAGATGGGAGATCTTTTCGTTTCACCCTGTCGTGACATAATAGAAAGCCAGTGGGTGTAAATGACAACTGTGCGGTAGCGAGTAGTGGTTCAGCCGCTCGTTACATCTTAGTGGTTGAGTTGCTATAATTAGGAAGTGGAAGGAAAGTTATTGGGGATGGTGTTCTTACTAGGCAGACATAAAATTCTAAATAATAAAAAAAAATGTTTCCAGATACTCCATGAAATTAATGGGAGGGAAAGAAGAGTGGTCTTTAATTATTTCAAACCCAGACAGTTAAGGCAGATGTACATCATCAGTCTTCGAGGAATGTCCTGGGGACAGAGCCAAGACATTTTTTTTTTTCCCTCCCATCATTGCTGATTTAATATCTGCACAAGTGCACATGCAAGAGGATGATACAAAACTTGCACTTTTCAGTTCAAGTCCCTGTAAATGACTCCCCCTTGGAGATTGTTAAAAATGTAATGGGGTTATTGTAGCACATGGGAATCAGTACTTGAATGCATGTGCCAGAAAGGCAAAGGTGGGGTGACCTTGTCTGCGTTAAGTCAGGGGAACTGTGGGGCTGAACTGAGCATCTAGTGGAAATAAAAAGAAAAACTAATTCCAAGCAGGCCCCAGTGAGCATGCTTTTATCCAAAAAGCAATCAGAGAGAGGAATACGACCTACCAGATGGAATTGCTGAGGCAGAGGTGAAACTTAGAAACAACAATAACGAAACACGATCAAGTATAATTTTGACAGAATGAAGATATTAGAGAGAAAAGGCCCCAGCGGGCCAGTTTGGCTCATCCTGATCCCGATATTTCATCTGCTCTTGGAAGACCCCAGGAGAAAGCTGTGTCACAGCACCGTAAGATGTCAAGACTGAACCGGTCTGAGTGCATGCTGCTGTGTGCACTGGTGGTAGGGGGAAGCGCTGCTGTGCCTCCCAGCTCTGTATCATTTCCAAAGCCCCAGAAAGGGGGACTTGGAGGTGCTGGGATCTGAGTCCCATGACAGTTTTTCCTGCCACGTTATCCACTGGCATCGCCAGACCTGGCCATTGGGAAACTCAGCAGGAGCTGCTCCGGGGAAGGTGGCGGTGGTGGGAAGTGGAAGGTAAAAGTTGTGGCAACGTGCTGGGCTCTGTAGTGTCTGCAGCAGTGGGGCTGTCTGCTTGGGCTTGGCGAGATACCAAGCCAAGGTTTTACGGTGTGAGTTCATCTGCTGGCTTTTCCCTTTTATGTGATGTAATGCTCTCTGTGAGTGTGATATTTATTGCACCCGGCTCTGTAGCGGGTACGTGGAGTCGTATCCAGCCTCAGAAAGTTTGGAAACAGCCTCTTGATCTTATTTGCATCCTTTCGGCTGACCTATGACATAATCCAAGGAGGGTCGGTGCTGCGGCTCTCTTTTCGTGCCCCCCCTTGCCCTCTGCCCCCTCCTCCCTGCTCCCAACGGTTTGTCAAACTGCCTTGCGTTTATCTCATCTCACAGGCTTTGCAACAAGTCACAGGATGATTTATGCCCTGATAACTTCTGCTTTTAAATGCTGGGCTAAGAAAAGCAGCCTTTGCAAAACCAACTGCGGCGGAGGTGTGGGGAAACCCGCCCATCAGCACGCTCAGCACACGAAAGCAGCATCTCAGCAGAGATGCCAGGCTGACAGGTCATGTCACTCTCTGTCCCCACATGCCATCCAGTGGGAGGGACTATGCTTTGCCAAAGAAGGAAAATATTTTGCAGATTTGATACCACTTTCAGCATCTTCTTGCAGGCCTCCTCAGGGCCACATGGATAATGCAGATCTGCGATCTGGCTGCTGCACCAGGCATGCTGGAAAAGCACCCCAGCTGCGGCAGGCAGTCCCATGTGCCATGGGGCTGCACCCCACTGTCCTGGGGGTGTTGGGGCTGGCACTGTGCACAGGTACAATCAAACACCCCTGGGACATCGGCCTGATGGCGAGTTATGTTGGAAGTTCAGATGTGACTGTGGCTGTAGGCACGGGCAGTATTTCTGTGTTTTAAGTATCATGGAGCAAAACCATTAAAGCAGATCCTACTTCAAAGAGCTCCCAGGATAATTTTAAGATCAGAAAGGTGATGTAGGCATAAGAAGACAGGGAGAGAATAGGAAAATGTTTTCAAGATTGAGCAGATTTTAGTTTTATTTTTATTCTGCAACAAGAAGAAAGAAGATTTTCCTCTGATTGCTTGGCTAACGCCTGTCTGAAACCATTATGCCTCCCTGAACAAAAGAAAGCAAACCCTGCAAAGACTAAGGCCAACACATTGAGTTTCCTGAGGGGGAGAAATCATGAACAAATAAAAATCAGGTGTTGAAATGAAAGCTGAATCCTCACCTTAACTGAAACCTTTGTAAGTAATACAATGAACACAGAGCAGAGAACAATTTAGATTTAGGTAAAGATTCTCTGTAATTACTTTTTGTGTGGTGTATTTGATTTCTCAGAGCATTTTTTTTTTTCTCCCAAAGGACACGGTTGTACTTGCCTAAACTCCTAAGCAAACTAGTTAGACCTGAGCAAAATGTTCAGGGCAAAATATGAAATTAGTTGAAACTTGCTTGGTTTCAGGTTTCTTTACAATCTCTAAGCTCAGTCCCGGTTCACTGAGAGGTTTGCTAAGGACCATGAACTTTTAGAGTGAACATGGACTGATTTATGTGTCTGCATGAAAATCCATGTGAAATTTGCCTTTCACATGACCACAATGCAAAAATATCTCCTCTCCGCTCCAGCCCCTTCCTGCAGTAGTGGATAAACATTGATGTGTTTTATCTCCTGTTTCTGCATTGAGGCCACCCAGCACAAGCATCATTTTGCCTAATTCCTTATAAATCTTCAGTGATACCAGCAGCAAAAGCACCGCCACTATTACTGATTTCTAGTTAGTTGCTGCTACTGTCAGCCAGGCAGGATTCTGGAATCCCCTGAAAACGACTGTAATTCTGAAGCTGGAGAAATAGCTGCAAGTGGCCCATCTCTAAAGATTTGACGGTAATCTGCAGTGCCAACCCCAAGGTCTCTGCTTGCTCATTTTTAGAGAGGCGTAGGTGGTCCGTGGAAGGTTCCCATCCGGCCCACGTTTCCAGAGACAACAGACTGTAGTGGCCTCAACATCTCTTGAAAGACATTTGTCATCGGAAATTCATTGGAAAAATAGCCTGGTCATAAGAAAAGGCCAGGTCTACCCCCAACACCCACCTGAATTCCCCTTATAGGGAAAACAGCAGAGAAAGAAAAAAGTTGTGGGTTGTTTTTTTATCACCACATACCTCATTTCAAAACTAAGTTAAAAATTACTTCTCCAATTTGGAAATTACTTTTCATTTCATATTCCAAGTTAATTTACAGTAAAACAAATATGTCCTGTCGTAAAACTTGAAGGGAAAGACTTGAAAATCACCCAAGCATTTTGACTGGGCGTCTCAGACTTCTCTTTTTCCCTCTTCTCCATCCTCAAATTTTCACTTGTTGATTTGTTTTTCTCATTGCTTTATAAGTTGGTATAAACGTTAAATATGACAGCAATTCCTGTAGGTCAAACGATACAGTTGTCACTCGGCTCTGCTCAGTGGCTCTTCCTGCAGCTCATATATCAGCCAGAAGGACAACTGCAGAGTTGCCTGGCCTGTTTCCCTCTGTGGTTTGTCTGTGCAGATGATGTTTGTTAACCTGGGAATTGAGAAACTGGAGCTGATCCTAGGCCTCTCCTGTGCTTCTGAAGAGCACAGATGTGCAGGGCTAATGGGCCAGCTCCCAGGTCATTTCCTGTATAGAGGATCTTTCATTAGGGTGGCCTTACTCGTGATATATAGCATTTCTTTTGCTTCAGAGTTACTTATATTACTCCACTGTTTATCACTTTGTGGTTTTATTTTATATTATCCCTGTCCCATAATGACTCATCAGACTGTGAACATGTATAATGAAGCCTGAGCTGTATTCTGCTGGCAGAGCTGCAGAGCTCTGTTCACGAAACTTCCAGCAGCTCTCCTGGTCGTGTGTGCTTCATAAAGGTGTGAGTCAATAATTCAAACCAACATCTCACCTGCTCTGAAAATACAATTGCTTTGAGGGCAAATCTGGCTTCAGAAATAAGGGCTTGCAAGATTGCAGGGGGAAAAAAAAAAAAAAAAAAAAGAGCAATTTCAGGGCAGGGTAAGTTGTTGTTTTGCTTGTGTCTGCCCAAAATATAGCAGTGTTTTATGTCAGAAGAGCTTTTCCTAGTGGCAGTGAATGAGAGACTGTAATGGATAATAAATGCTGAGGGTCAGGAGGTTTTCAAACTTCTTTTGCAGTATGTGCTGGCTTTGAATGACTCAGAGTCCTTCACCCTTTTTGTTCCAGGAAGCGTGCATCACCTTCCCACCTCTCCCATAAATGAAGTGTGGTGGCAGAGTGTTTAAAGTAAGACCCAGAGGGCCTAAGTTGGAGGTTCCAGGCAGCTGAGGACTCCAGCTGAAGCTCTGGAGATGACCTGGTGGCATGTAGGTGTCTGGTTGTTTGGACTGGGAGTCAAAGGGATGGGGAGGGGTGTGGGCTGAGCATGTCATAAATCGTGCCAGCCTTAGGAGGACCCTTGATCTTTAACACACAGATCCTCTCTGGCTGCTACGGCATTTACTTGCTGTATGAACATGAGAAGGAATATTGAGGACAGCATTCACAGCCACTCTCATGTGAGTTTGGATTTGGGAGCAAGGGGGGACATCCTCACTTGTAGGTTCCTTCATAACCTCTAAAGTGCCCTGCCAGTTCCCTGATGAAGACCTCTATCAGACCATAAGCCACAGTCTGGCAATGTTTGTCCTACGGAATTGGTAGACCATGTCATGCATGTTCCCTGCTGACCTCAGCATCTGCTGCATCACCGTGCCTTGTGAGACCTGCAGCTGTGCTGCCCTCCCATTACTCCAGCTGGAATCAAACCCTTCTGGGTAAATTCTTACATCTCAGCCATACACAGCCTCACAAGAGCTCCAAAGGACTCAGGGATGTTAGAGAGTTGTTGGCCATGTCTGATGCCCTCGCACAGGCTGGGTGGTGGGTGACTGTGAGGGACCGCAGGCAGATCTGTTAGGGTTTCCACCTGCCTCTGATAAGCTCCTTTCCCTTAGGGGAGAGACGTAACGTGACAGCTGGCTGAAGCCAGGACCTCAGAAATGGAGCTGTCCAGAACAAACATTCAATTAAAAAGAAAAAAAAAAAAAAAAAAAAAGACAGAGCAGAGCAACCTAATATTTTGCTTCCTTCTGTTCCTGACTATAAAGTGAGGATAATAAATGATCTCTTAGCAGTATGACACTAAATATATTTTCAAAGCAGTCTCATGCAACAAGGATGACTGCCATGGGGAAAAAAAAAAAAAAAGGCTCCCTCATCAGTTTTCATATCCTTTCTGTAAACTCCCTTCACAGCCACTGAAAAAGAGCCATCACTTCACACACCAGCTACCAAGCGGGAGGAAGAGGTGCTGTCGCTCTCCAGCTGCTCTCACCCTGCCTTTGGTACCAGCTTTGCTCCTTCCTGAGGCCTAACCTAATCACGCTGAAGTTTTGGCATGCCAGGACTCCAAGCCGCATGACAAAACAGAAAATTAGATCCCCTCCACCACCACCATGGTATTAGCTGAATATCACAGGAGATTCATTAAATTCTGGGCAGCCTGATGCAGCCCAGCATGGGAATGAGGAACCTGGCCTCCTCTCACATGGCCTCAATGCATGTGAGGGAGAGAAGGGAGAGCAGTGCTGAGGCTACAACTTCTGGCTAGCTGTTATAACCCTCATCAGATGTCCCTTTGAGCCATTTTTGAGCACCACAAGTTCAAATCAAGAGCAAGTTCTTACATCAAGGCATGAATAAATAATGAAACAACCCTCGCTGCATTCCTGCGTAGTGTTTCAAACCACAAATCTCAAAGCATCCCAAAACTGCAACCCTAATTAGCCTTGTTTAAGGGAGGAGGGGACACCGTAGATGACATCTGGAGACAGCAGAAGGGCAGCAGGGGCAGGCCATGCTGTGGCAGCAGACTTCAGCCTGGAGATGTAGTCAGAGAGCATTGGGGGTGGGTGAGTGGCCACCGGCAGGTATACAGCGCAACCCAAGACACTACCCTCAAAACCTGCTGCTGCCGCCGCTCATTTTCACAGTCCTGTCTCCTACGACAGCATAAACAAGCTGTCATCTGTTTTTCAATGAAAAAATACTTTTGCTTGGCCGGGTTTCATCTTGCGCTGTTGCCGGTTGCTGTTGCGGAAGCTGCGGCAGCTATAAATAACCTCGCCGCCAGCTCCTCTCCTCGGTGAGCCCCAGCGCTCGCCTGGGGACACGCTGCCATGGGGGGCTGGCTCTCCAGGACAGATAAGGATTGAGGATGCTTGGTGTGAAGCAAGGAGTCTCCTGACAGAGGTGGCGAGCGGCTGCCACTGAGCGATTTACACCCCATGGGCCCAAGCCACCCCGTGGCTTCCTGGCGGTGGCCTCCGGCCCAGCTGTGTGAAACCACAAGCATGTCACCTGCGGGCGGGGGGGCAAGGGCAGATGTCACACCCAAAAGCTGGGGATGGCTGGGTGGGGGTAGTGTGATTATTGGCCTGTCCCCTTTTGTCCCCGTGCTCTGTGTCCCTGCAGCGGCCCTCAAAGCCATTGCTCCAGTGCTGAGGGCTGGGGGGCGCAGGAACAATGCAGCTAGTGGGAGTTGTGTGGAGATGGGTGGAAGAGGAAAGAGGGCCCTACACATGCCCTGGCTGAAACAGGGCCCTACACATGTCCTGTCTGCAGGCCAAGATCCAAACATTCAACCTGTCAGGAAACTTCTCACTTCCTGGGACTTCTTTGGCTTTGTTTTCTTCTGGATTGCCAAACCAGACTGGCTCAGATGAGCCTTGGGTCTGTCACAAGGGAAGAAGGAGGAGAGGGGGAGCAGTCCCCACTTTTGGGTGAATGGGTGCAAGGTTTACATGCCCTGGAAGTGTTTGCGTTGCTATCCAGGACTGCTGTGTTCTCCATCTGCTCTGTTTGCCTTGCTATCCTGCTTGGGCCTCGTTTGTGGTGGCAGCTGTGCCCTCCCCTCCAGCCCCCAGTGCACTGCTGCTGGTGATGTGTGCCTTGGGCAGGGGCTGTAGGGTGGCTTGCCCCAAGGTGGAGCAAGGAGGTTTTGCTTGTCCACTTCAGTGCCCACACCGTCTGAGCTGATGGCCTAGGTGGATCTGTGGGTGAGCTTCCGAAAGGAGGGCTAGTTTCTGCTGCTGGCTGAATGCATTTGGTGACTCATCTCAGTTCCTAAATGCAGAGAAGTATGTTTCCATACGACAAGGACAGACTTTAACTTAACGTTCAAGGTCTCTGACTGTGGTTTCCCATTTATAGCTGGCTGCTGCTGAGCAGGGTTGGTCCCCCTCCCTGTCTGCTGTCCCCAGCCTTGCAAAGTCCTGCCCCTACCCTTGCACCAACTCTGGCGTGTGTCTGAACTCCGTGGTGAGCTGACGCAGGGAAGATGAACAAGGAAAAAAATATCTCTTCCTCTTTATTTTCAGTAGGCTTATGATGTGGAGTAAGGTGAAGGGGAAGGAGATCCATGCTGGGAAGCAGGCAGCTTTTATCTGCCTAAGCTGTAAGACGTGCTGTGCCCTTGCCATCCGCCCTCCACATCCTGCAGGTGACATGGGCAAAGTGAGCAGGAGTCACAGCTCCCAGTTCACCCAGGGCAAAAGACCAGAGAGAGGCAGGCCTGAAGATTTATTCCTGAGTGCTTTTGTTTTTATGATGCTTTACTTTCCCAGCCAGACAGGATGAGAAACAAATACCACCAAAATACTACGAGAGAGGCTATTCTTGAAGTGTTTATAGCCCAGCCTCAGTGGAAAATGTTTGGCCATCTCCCAAGAAAGCCGATTCTCACTGTGTTTCCAAGCCCGTTTCTGAACTTTTGGGCACTTACCCGAACAGAATCTGGACTTTTTGAAGTTTGCTTATCTCTGTCTACAAGGGCCTCCTGCTCGAGTGAGTCAAGGGAGGGCAGCTGAGGGCAGGGGTGTGATGAGGAACCAGAGCAGTGAAATACTGATGGGCTTTGCTGGTGCTGTAGAGAAGAGCAGTGGTACCCACCCCATCCTCCCAATGCTCAGATGTACCCACTAGCAGACTGCCTGGTTTAATGGTCAGCCTGGCTACGTATAGCAAATCACTTAATGGCAAAAGACTTTAAAAAGCTTCTAGTTTCCTCAAGCATTTTTAATTTAGAAAATTGAAAGTTAAACTAAAACGTGGGGGGATATTTAAATCAGAAGGGGAAGAGTGGGTGTAGCTGAAGCTTCAGGCAAACTCTCTCCTGCAAACTTGAAGGGGTTAAGGCCAGAGCTGTCAGTTTTTACACACCTCTGCAAAATAGTGGTTGCCTTGTTCCGCTCAGCCTGGCTAAGAAAAGCAGCCACTGCCCCCACCTTTCTCCATCCTCTGTTTTCTAGACAGCCAACTGTTACTTATTAATCTGGAAGAGATTCTGCCTCATTAGTGCTGGAGAATAGCAAGTATTTGCTAAATTCTCTGAGTTTTCTTTTTATTCCAGGGTGTTTACTGTGATGGTATCTTGAGATCTGTTTGCTTTCAGACACAGAGTGTGAGAGCTGTATCAGTGCAGAATGAATCTAAACCAAACCAAAATATGGGTGAGAAATGAGCTGTATGTTTTAGTGAATGTCCATGAATTTGCAGTACACAAAAGCACTTTAAAACCTGAAAATGATAGCAACCTCTACTGAGAGCTTGTTTTGCATGTTTAAAGAGAAATACAAAACAATCAGAATAAGATTACATGTAATATATGCTACTATTGATAAAAATCTGATATATTAGAAAGTTATATAATTACATGGTACTATCCAATATCCTCGGTTGCTGCTCTCAATTACTGACATTATTAGTCTAGCATTATTCTGTTCAAAATGTAATAAAACAGTTCCATTAGTTATGGAGCAACCTAATCACTGAGGAAAAAAGTTTGAGAATGCACTGACTAACCCTGAGTGATCAGGAGAACACGGGGATTTTATTTTATTAATTGGCTATTAGTGCAGATTTGGACATTTTATAAGTAGCAAGTGATGTCAGTGCTGTGTTTGTTTAAACTCACTGCTGTTTGAAGTGACCGAGCAACAATAATAAAACCCTTTGTTTTTAGATAAATGCTTTTTTTTTTCTCCTACTGAGAACCGATTTTATTTAACATGCATCATGAACAAAATTCATTGTGTTATTCCTAGTAAAGCACATCTGTTTAAATCAAGTAAATTAAATGTAATTCCTGAGATTAAGTAGGAAGCAGTTATATTCCCATTTGGAGTGGCTTGGTTTTTTCTAGGTGATTTTGTTGTAGTTTTCCAGCACTGTGTAAACAAATAGCTTAATCAAGAACAATAGCGGAGGATCTTAACTTTCCTTTTTCCGCTATCAGTGGAAATAAATAACATATGTAATAAAGATACTGTGATTGTGAAACAATACTGTGCAAAAGATAACACTGTGATTATTTTCAGTTTTAGAAATCAGGCATGAGCCACAAAGTGCAGAAGCAAAGCTGCAATTTTACAAAGCGTGGTAGCAGCCCCACTGAAGTCAGAATGGTAACAAACAGGCATGCAGGCGTGCCCCCCTTGAAACCTTGACATAGCTGAGAAATCACAAATGATGCTGCATTCCCCTTCAGGTTCTTTGGTTTTTCTCTCTCTAACGCTGGTTAGCTATTCCCATGCATGAGCGTGAGTGCGTGCACACGCACACGTAGTCCAAAGCAAAATACTCCTCTATGCGCACTCCTACCCCAGGGAAAAGATGGTAGAGTAGATACATGACAGATGTTAGCATGTTACTTAACACACTGGTGGGAGGCAACAAGATAAATGCAGTGCGGGAACCCGTGGATTTGAGCAATCCCTCAAAGTTTGTTCTCAGGGTTTCATCAGAGCCTTGCAGGATGGTGTAGTCAGCGTGGTCACTTCTTGTGACGGTAGCAGCAGAAACAGATTGTACTGAAAGTCCTTGAAAATCTGAAGTCTGTAGCCTAGTTTCTGCCTAAATTTAACACAGTGCATTGCATGACAAGACTCTGACTCAGAGGAGTTACTCATATGCTTAAGCCTTTGTGAAGTTGGTACCTTTCTGGTGAACTTCTGAATTGTTGCCCTAAAAAACACCTATTGTTAATTTTTGCATGTCACTTTTCTGAGAAGGTCTTGCTGAAGGAAATTTGAATAGAAAACACTGGTAAAGTTCTGTGAGGATGCCCAGCCCTAACACATCATTTCCGAGCACACATTATGGTTACTTGAATACTGTGGTTAACTCATAGCTTAATCTACAAGTTCCTTAATAACTCAGCTCCTTAATTAAGGAACCTTTCCTCACAAAGTCTTTGCATATCCTCCCAAACAGAAAAATTACAGTAAATGTTTTCTCCAAAAGTTTTTATGTATTTTATTTAAACTTTAAAAATACCTGTGTTAATTCTGATGTCCTTTGGTTTTACACTAAGGTTGCAGAGGTGAGCTTCAGGCTTTCTTGTCTCGTAATTGAGTGGAGTGTTAAATCTTTTATGTGGATGTTTTTATGGATAGGTGTTTTCCAAAAAAAAAGTTATATCATATACAATCTGGAGTTTGATGAAGAATTGATTTCCCTCTGAGTCTTATGGTCCAGCCTGTCCTCCAGCCATCCATGGAAGAATCTTACAGGAAATCAGAAAATGTGGTTTGCAAAGTATTAAAAAAGCAGCATGTCCTTTTTTTTTTTTCTTTTTTTTTTTTTTTTTTTTCTTTTTTCCTGGTCTATAAAACTTATGGAAGGAAGCA